CATATATCTTCAACACGCCCCCTCATTTGGCGATTCCGGTTCATGATATATGTTAAACACGCACCCACATGATGCCTGTTCATCATATATCTCTAACACGCCCCCCTCATTTGGCGATCTTGGTTCATGATGTAAATTAAACATGCCCACTCATTTGGCGATTCCGGCTCATCATCATCATCATCACCACCTGAAGGCATTGCTGTTGCTGATTACTGAATCTGCTATTGCACTAGCATCTCACTAGCATAAACTATTCGCACCTGAGACTTAGGTGCACAGGAACAGCCACAAAAAGAGCCGTGCTGGAACCCACTGTAGTACACCCTGATCATATCGACATCACGAAATGCCCGTCCTCTCTTCGCACAAAGGAGGAATCTGCTGAGTCCTTCGCTTCGCCACAATTGCATCGGAGGCAATCTCGCTACATGCACACATAGGTCAGATCCATGCGGGTCTCGCAACTACGCACTGCCTCTGCGACGCAAGTACCGATGGCATAGGTTCAAGTGCCCCCACAAAGGCCCTGCCAATAACTTACCCGGATCCTGCAGAATCCGGCCCACAAGCGGGTTCCGCTCCGCGATTTCATTCATGCAGGGCAGCTCAAGAGCGTAATCGGGCTGCACATAACCTCGGCAGATGGTCCGGCCGGCAAACAAACTTCGGAAACACCCTGATGACACGTGAACTCAAGCCTTGATGATGGCCCAAGCCTAGAAGCCAAAGCGTTGGCAACCGTAAGGTCCCTAAGGACCTGCGACAGAAGCATGACGCCAATGCACATTGCCACATGTATTACTCGTGCTTGACTATCATCTGCGGCCGTGACAGCAGTTGTAGCTGACCCCCTGCATTGCTGGCCAAAGAGCTTGCGAAGCACGTGAGGTTGTCACCCCAGTACGGCTCCTGCAGGAAAGATCTTAAGGATCTCAGGGTGCAAAGAGTTTTCACTTCCCTCTTCTTCTACGAGTGCTCAGCATGTAACAATGTCATGCTACAGACGCTTAGACTGGGGTGTTATCAACGTATATGGCGGCCGATCCTTACATCTTACATGTGAGGCCTCGTCTCACCGAGCTTGTGGCGATGCCGGACTCTGTTCAGGCACGCAAGGTGTCCTCCGGCTCCAGTCTTGTTGCCGTGTCGATTTGCCCGCCTCTGACTACAACGAGAAAGAGCATGCAAAGAAGTCATCGCTCGGCAGCATCACGTTGCGAGTCATGCTTAAACAAACACTTCATCCACGAGGTCTCGCAGCCTCCCCCGGGCCACAGGAAGTCAAACACCCAGATTCGCAGACAGTCGCGGTCACAAACACCGCTCAAGCCGGCCTTTGAGCTTGCAAGCCCATGGCCCGCGCAAGAGCTGCAGCTTCTTGTACACCGCTCCATCCAGGACATCTGGGCTTCGGAGGCTTGGTTTGGGGGATAACCGGGTCTCCTGGAATATAATATCCGCAACTGCAGTTTTGTCGCCGTCGACGGGGCCACGATACTGGCTCTCGCTACTAGATCAAGGTTTATTGGGGCGCGCAGCTGCCACTGCCCATGCTTCTACCCCGTCTGTTGGGCTGTGGGCTGGCAGGCCCAGTGGAAGAAACGAGAAGAGCAAGCCTAGCGGTGCAACCGAGAGAACACGTTCTGCACACACTGGCAACCAAAGAAGCCGGCGCGCAACGGCGCTTGCTGTTTGGGGTTCAACTCCCTGTTTGTTCGATCTGAGGCTCAACTGGAGAAGCTCTACACACTCTTTCTCGCTCCAAGCAGAGGTTGCAGGATGCATGCACAACGCACCACGCTTCTGGCCTGGACCTATACTCCACCTGTCCCCATTGTAAGACTCACAAAAAAACACTGCTTTGGTCCAGCCCACGTTTCAATATGTGCCGTGAGCCCTGGCCCTCCAACTCGACCGTCGCCTCCTCCGAAGCTCAAGCAGAGACATCGATGACTGTCTAGCATGCAGCTGCATGCACCTTCCTGCAGGAATCTTCGCCAATATTTTACACACAGCCATAAACGACTCGCATCTACAAGCTGATGATCAAAACCTCTGCTTCAAAAGAGCAAGTTCGCCACTAGTGCTGTCTCTCTACTAGCGCTGTCTACCAAGTCTAAGTCTTAGCCTGTTTTGCCGGATTGGAGCTCAGCACAGTTCTTCTGGGAGCCTGTGCTAAGCGCAGCAGGGCCGGGAGGTACCTTGGAGAGAAGACAACAGCGAGATGCACGGGATAAACCGTAGAAATGCAGGATGGCCTGTGATGCTCGCACCGTGGAAACATGGTCACTAGCCATTGCAGAAGCGCTCTGCGCGCTAGCTGCAAGCCGTGCCACCCACGTCACAGCCAAGAAACTGGTTCTGGTGCGCGAAGTTGGCAAACTGGATCTGCGGGAACCTGATCTTGCACACGTTGCACCAGGCCAGTTTCGGGAAGGAAGCGAGATCAATTGGCTGCACTTTCAGGATGCGGCAGCAGATAATTACTGCCATCGCCAGGTCATAAACTTCCTGCTAAACAAGTAGGGTTCTGTTTTGATGTAGTGGGAACTCAGCTGGAGATGCTGGAGCACCCCGCGCACGCCAACCACCCCCCACCTCCCGCACCCCGAATGCTCTTCCAACATGCCCTCGCTTACCCACTTCATTGAGGCACGGTCAAGAGGACACCGCGGGAATTGCTGACAATGCAACCCGAATCTGTACCCAGACTTTTTGCAAGCCCTACAACAGGGCCACAACGATATGGCCCAGCCACAGCACATGGCAGGAGTACTTGTCAGGGCGGCATGATGTCAGCACCACTGGCTCCGGTTCCTGTGGCCACCAAGCCGGTTCTACAGGTGCAAACAATGGCTCGAAACCTCAGGAGCACTGTCAAGAAGCTGAGGGTGAGACGTCGAACAATGCCCACAGGACATGAGTAGGTGGGTGGGCAGGTGGGTAGGTAGGTTGGTAGGTTGGTCTATAAACTATAACTAGAAACATAAGCACAAACAGAGTAAATAACTACATAAAACAATCAATCACCCGTGCATCCCTACACCTACATAAGTTCGCAGCACTTCCACACTGTACACGTCAATATTGAGGGACTCGGGACATACCTTCCCCTGAAGTGGTTTCCGAACGGATGCAACGCAAGCGAATTTACTCCTTTGCTGGGACACCAGAACACTCAAGGCTAGAATGGCTAGAAGGATGTATGCCTACTTGAGTGGGCTGGCCTCTTGCCCGGCTCGGTTTCAGCATGGTCGTGTAGCTTTGAAAAACAACGACTCTGCGGACATGCACCGGGCGCACCTCGATGTTCCATCCAAGCGCATCTCCGCGAAAGAAGACCCGCACGAAGAGATGCAACAATTTCTTGGATGGTCATGTGTTGGCGATTGTCTTGAGATATGAGTGCAAGGTTCACCTCGTTGCTGTTGGGGCATGCGTCAGGGTAGCGCATGTTATTCACGGACTAGCTTGCGTTGCAGACTAATTGTCTCCCTTGTCGGGCCAGGCTGCTTCTCGGCCACTTGGGCCTCATGCGCCCTAACGGGCTTGCTCACTTCAGCTCATTCCTATGGCCGTGCGTCCATGCTTCATTCTTCTACAGTCCCTCCCTCTGGCCTGAAGAGCTTCCTTATGCTTCCTTTCCATGGCGGCCCAGTGTCGACAATGATTTCATGAGAACGGTTGTATGCCGCGTCACCGTCGAGGTCAAAGTACAAGCAACGAGGTCTGCCCTCCTCCAGCACCTGCAGGGCATGGACGAAAGCTTTTCCCAAGCATAATAATACGGAAGTATGCAGGTATGTAACATGCTTTATACCCACACGGGTGCTGAGCCTCAGGTTCCGGGCAGAATCTCTCGTGGCTGGCCTCGTTGAAGAGCTGGACCTGGCCTCGATGGCGATGATTCTCAATCTCCTCCCAAAGCTCCTGGCTAAGGCTGCGCTTCCTGAATCATCCCTCGAAAAGCCGAAGCTCCAAGCTCCGACAGGCGGCTTGAGGCTTAAGGGCCACTCGGGATTCCGGCGGCATGACGCGACATGGAACTACGAATTCAGTATCACTGACAGCGTCTCTCGGCAGAGGGGTCGCCCTCCCCACGTTCGCGTTCCCCATTCCCAACACTGCCCCCCAATGTGTTGTGCAATTCGGATCTCCTCGTGGCTGTGGAACATGGAGTACTTCCTGAGGATCTTTGGGGCTACATGGGGCTATTCATTGCTGGGCCTTGAGACCTTAATGCCCGTCAACAACATCTCTTCTGCATGCGACCTCTGAGCCTGATGCCTTTTCTCGTGTCGAGACCTCCCGCGAAACCGCAGGTTTCAGAGCACATTGGGCAGAATCCCCGCTGTTATGCTTGCAATGTTGAAAGAAGCCCTGGCCCTGACCCGTTGGAGCAGCCAAGCTTCATCGCTTGGACCACGAATCCTCGCCCTTCCTGGGGATAAGTTCATAGCGCAGTTTCAAGTTCTCCAAGACGTGTAAGACCCTATCCAATACTACGGGTAACACAATTGAGAACCCCACGCCGCGTCGTCGAACGAGCATAGCAGCCTTCAAGCAAGTAATTCAAATCAATTCCTGTGCCCATGCTCCCAAAGTAGAGCTACTGAATCCTCCTCCCTAAACTAAAGTGCCAGCCCTTTCTGAATCAGGCGACCTGAGGCCCGGCCAACCCCCAAGGCCTACACTCCATTGGGCAATCGAGATGCTCGAAGAAAGGGGGTCTCCCGCGCGTCTGCCTCGTACTCGTACGGCGACGCTACAAGCACGCTGTCATCTGACCTTGCTCTCACTTCTTTCGGCCTGTTTTTGGGCTCTTACAACTTAGACTGTGCCTGATGTTGTCTCACTGTCTTGCAGCCTGTACTAGTCTATGCCGACCAAGCCGAACTCCATTGTCCGGTGATATGCGATCCATAGTTGGGTGTCTTTGAGGGCTCCAGGCTAGGGTTACATGGTCTTAATGGCTGCCTCTAGTCACGGCTTGCATCCAAAAAATGCTCTCGGCCTTCCTCCGAAACACAAGACTTCCAATTACATTGCCAAAAACTGCACGCCGCCTCGAGCTCACCGCGGCTTCATATCGTAACCCTGTACGTGCTGTGCATGAAAGAGGCCCTGGAAACCAAGAAGGTACAGGACCAGCATGAAAGGAGGGACGTCACGAACGACATACCTAAGTATAGTCGACCGTTGGTATGCCCTTCAATTTCCATGCCCCGCTTGTTTTTCTACACCGGCCCTTACTGTGTACAGTGCCCGAAGCATGCTCACTGCTTCTGAGAGACACGGTCGTGCGCTCGAAGAGCTGCGGCAGGCTCCGATGCCATTCCAGGTTGTGCTCAAACTTGCGAAAGCCACGCCTTCAGGCTTGAAGGTGGGGCGCATGTCGACGTGCAAACCCTGAGCTTGTACCTTGTAAATCACAGTAGCATCGGTCTAGTTTGCGGGCTGTCAACGCGAGACATGCGTATCTTGCAAGAGTCACGGCAGCACCAGGTGGCAATCATCCACAACCAGTCCCGTTCAACAGGTTATCATAACCATTCGATGTCGGTTAGGCGCATGCTGCGACTCCAACACCTCAATCTCTATGGGAGGTAGAAGTCCCTGCCAATAACAACTTTCGCGTTACTGGTATAAGCGTTGCGTAGCTGGGAGCAAGGCCCAGATCCCGAAATTGCGCCTGACAGGAACGGTCACTGCATGACGTAGGCCCAGGCGGGATGGTGTAGCCAAGAGCCGGGAGAGCGGCGCCATGTCAGAATTTCGGCGAAAGGCGTGAATCTCTAGACTGACATGATGAGAAGAAATAACTCTTTTAAACAGATTCCCGTCACGGTCACGATTCTATTGATTCGGTCAGTGTGACATGAAGCTCTCTACTTTGTTTCCTGCTTGAAGACATTTGCCTGCGGGTTCACGTCGCGTGAATGGGACAGACGCATGCTTTGGCGGTCCTTTACTAAGATCATCCAAGATTAACCAGGACTTTCGAACACTGCTCCAAAAGCAACTGTAGAGACTATGGCCAATGGCCACCATGCGTGACTGTTTAGGTCCTGCTCAACTGCATGCCTCGTCGAGGCGCCTGTGAAGGCAGCCTCCCTAGAAGCATGATGCCTTTTTTGTCTGGACTAAATAATGGACGACCCCCTGTGTGACGTCACGATTCTCTCTGCTGCGAGGGAGCTGTAGGCGAGGGCTGCAGATCATCCTTCCGGCAGGCTTCTTCATGGAGCTTGTAATAACTGTAGCAAGTGGGACAGGTCACCCGGAGACTGCAACCCCTCCGAACACGTGCTAGGCAGAATGTCCTGGCCTGCAACGAGCAGTCTGAAAAGCCTTCAGACAAACACACCCAGCCTCGAAAGTATTCTGCCTTCTGCACCTTTCTTCTTGAATCCGCTGACGACACTTTGTATGTTTAGGGCTCAGAAGACATGTCGCCTCTTTCACTTTTTTGACGATTGCAGCTCTTCGGCACCTTCGGGCTATCGTCCCGAGATCCACTTGGTCTTGTTTGAATGCCCTGCACTGCACGATGTTCCTTTTTCGGCCACGAGCCTGCGGACCAAAGGTGTTCAGGAGGCTTTGAAAGTGGGCTTGAAACGCAAGTAATAACCCGCAACCTCACCAACCCGGTCGAGACCATTGCTCACGCTCGGCCTCCACAGCAGCGATGGCCTCGTCCGGCGACGGTTCCAAAGCACCTCGGCGAGGCTTGGCGAAGCTTTGACGGCTCGGTGCAGCCAGGCCAGATGATCGAGCACAGTGGATTTAAGATTTAAAGCCTAAGGCGTCCATGAGCTGCCAAAGCCAAAGGAATGGGAGGAGTGGAAGTTCGCCTGAGCTCAAGTACCTGTGGCCTAAATCGGAATCCCTGAACACCAAACCCCATGTCTGTGACGCTGCACGGGCCCCAAGCCCGAAACTAAGGCCCTTTCTTTTTTGAACAGGGGCTGCAGTGCACATTGCCCTGATCCTTCAGCTGCCGCAATGCTTGCAACGGCTGATCTGGGACTGCTCGAGGTCGGACTGCCAAACTACATGAGGAGTCAGCAAAAAAAGAGCGCATTATCACTCAATTGAACTATCAAGACGATGAGACCTTTCTTCACGTCTCAAAGCCCTGAACCTAAAATTGCAGCTGCGGGCACGTATGGGCAGCGCCTTTCTCGCACGCCGGGGCTTGGGTGAGGTGGGCGGCTCCTCCTCACAAAGAGACCAGTTCAAGCTTGGGCTTGGGGGCATCGTGAATCATGAACAGCCTGAGGATGTCTAAGTAAATCCAGACTGCATTGCAAAGGAAGTTAAGTGAGTAAGCTATATTCGTATGCTCCGATCATCCTGTGTTAGTGACTATCTCGTTTGTTTCTTCGTATGGATCCATGAGACAAGTGACGGCAATCACGCAGGAACAAAGACGGGAAGTCCCTTCCTGCTCTGTCAGCGCCGGCGGTGTGCTTGATGATGCACGAGGCGTACCGGCAGACCTAAATGCGTGAGAAACTGTCACAATAAGAGCAAATCAGAGTAATATAGTAATAACTGCAATAATAGCAACACTTGTACAAACAACAATCACAAAAATGCCAGGGGCAAGAACACAACAACATAATGACAAAGTTAGTAGCAGTAGTAGTAGCAGTAGCAGTAGTAGTAGTAGTAGTAGTAGTAGTAGTACTAAACCTTGGCAGGGGTCTTGGACCTGGCTCAAATACAGAAGAGCAGGCCATACCATCCGTCTGCGCACATGGCCGTGTTTCTCTCTGTCTAACGGTCTACCGATCTATCTGTTTCAATTGCTGTCCATCCCTCTCTCTCTCTCTCTCTCTCTCCATGGGGCTTTACATGTTCGAACACGCATGTCTATGCATCTATAACCCTGGTCGGCTGCATTATTCCGCTCCATTTCAGCAATATTGGGTATTTAAGCCTTAGCATCAGCTTTGCTTATCCCCTTTCGTCGCGCTACATTCCCTATTGTATACGTATCTCGTCTTCGGTTCAAGAAACCAAAGGCCTTGTCCCAATTCCAACCCCCCTCACCCACCCCAATATCAACCAAGGTCAGCGCTGCAGCAAAGTCTTGGCGACAGCGGGTCTGCGAAGCCTCTGAGCGTAGGGCCACCTGGCATCAGAAAAGTCCGTAGTGAATATGATGTAACAGTTTAACGTAGTAAGCCACTGTCTCTTATCTTTCTGGCTCGGCATGGCCTTGTGTCTTCGAAACTCTACCCTCGACAAAAACCGACATCTAAACGACAATGCCCACCATTACACCGAAGACAAGCCCTGTTCCAAATATCTAGACCCAAGGCTATGGTGTAAGAACATCAAGCAACGGGGTCCTCTCGAAGCCCGAGCGACATCACATTCTCTGAGATTGTGAGGCGTCGGACTCGAGAATTCTGTTTTCAGCTGTGTATGGCTCCAGGTCTCACTCACACGCTCTCTACGCCTTCTCTCGAACCTGGCAGGAGGCAAGCCGACACCCTACATTCAAAAAACACATCCAAGACATTTCGAGACTACAGATCCGTTTCAGCTTGAGCACAGGCCTGCGAAAACCTCACCAAACTTCAAGCACACTGAATAATCGGCCTACTCTCCCGCCACACGTCCGTCAAAGCAGCACCTTCCAGGACAAGCCCAACCAAGACCCAAACCCCACAGCGGGGCAGGTCACGAAGTCCGATCGAAACCATCAAAAAGGGAAACATGCCGAGCCACAAGGCGAGTCCTAGCATGGCACGCATGAGGCCCAGAGTGCAAAGCAGCAGGAAGGTCGCAAAGGAGGTTGCAGACCTTGGAGGCTCTCAGCCTTCTGCCGGTGTCGGGATTTGCATGAGACCTGTCAGCTGGCCTATTAATCACACCACGCGGACAAATCAGGCCTGCGCAAGCCAACTGAAATGCGAAGACGTATCAGCAAAGAAGCAAAACCTCATCTGCTGGTTTGGCCCAGACATTCCACCACGATGATGGCTCTGACAAAGCCACGCTGCCATCCTTTGCGCTATCTCTGTGTGCAAGCATGCTTGGCGGGAGCTGAGGAAGCCCACAGTCTGACATGGGTGGCCGCCTGCGTGACACCCTCGACACCAGTGGAGCAACTCCGTCCAAAGTCTGTCAAGGTGCCGCTGCATCATCGCCACGGGCCTTGAGCGTGTTCTGAAGGACACAGGGGGATGCGGTGAACATTTGCTTTCAAGACCAAGGATCGGACTTCGGAGGAACCACCGGAAGGGTCAGGCTACGCATAAAGAGACTGAACACTTAGCTATAAAACAATTGCACGTGCCTGATGCACTGACTGTCGCCGTCTGTGGTTTAGGACTATATGCAGTTGGCACCCGTCTCGAGTTGGATTGCTAGGGGGTGTGCTCCTTTCTTTAGTGACATCAAGTTTCTCGCAACTTATTTGAAGCAATGGACTCGGTGGATGCCAGCACAGCACACATGACGATTGATTCGTTTAGTTTTTTGAAACCCTGGCACTTCACACGATGAAGAGTTGGCTTTCTTCGAACGTAGCGGAGGTTCGGCTTGATTGCACTTGCTTGGCAGGGCTGTGACGGTTTTTTCTCTTCCGTGGTCGACGGTCCAGGTCACAAAAGCACCTCTCTCTCGCTCTCCCCCGCAGGCAGGCCGGCACTCATCCGAACAGTTAAACCGCTAAACGCTCAGCCTCGAGGAAAGCCAGCAGGGCAGCCAGGACACCTTGTCACTGAAAGAGCCAACCGCAGTCGGGTAGAATAGTACTCACATAGCACCAGCACAAGTTGTCGTAATCGTCGCCGCCTTCTTCTTTGCAGGACCAGTAGCAGCAGCAGCGCAGCAGCAGCAGCAGCAGCAGCAGTAGTAGTAGTGGTCGTCGTCGTAGTAGTAGTCGTCGTCGTGGTCGTGGTAGTAGTTGCAGTAGCAGCAGTTGCAGAAGTAGTAGCAGTCGTCGT